CTGGGTTAAGCTTAGTAGCAATCATTTTATTAGATGGATTCACTTCTAGAGAACTCACTTTGTAATACAGGGAGCAAAAAAGAGGAAGAGTGGGAAACTAAAATTATGTTGAAAGACTAGCAGTTTGAATGTATAAACATAAGGTGACTCAGTCTTAAACTGCTTAATTATCATCAGTCAGGAATCTGTACGGTTTGATTCTGTACAACTCATTAAAAAAGGTGGGAATACAAATCAATCTATCTTTATTACGGTCACAGACCAGCAAATCAGATTATATGCCTCCAGTATAGTGTCGCAGAAAAAAATATCTTTTCTGACTTAAAGACGATATTAAAAATGATAATCATTTCCAGAAGAAAGAAGACAAAACACCAATAATGATTGCTGCCTCAGGAATGAGTGTGAATCTGCTGAAACAGGGTGAGCTGAACAATGTCCAGTGATGAATTGTAAGCCATTCGGATGCCTTGGCATTAATCAACAGGCGGCTTAAAAGATCCTGTCTAGGTGGAATTGATGACCAGCTGCAAGTGCTCATTTGTGTTAATTATTATTAACTTGCCTTGAATTATATGCTGAGAAATAGATGTTCTACCAGGGAAGGAAAAGGCAGTAGTCAACCTTGGGGTCATATCCTACCAATAACGGCATGTCCACACCATAAACCTGTACCAGTTTTAAATTACTTGGGCCATCTTCGTTCCCTGTTCTACTGTAATCAAGATTATTGAGAACAGTAGATTAATGAAGCTGTACATCCTTGGTATCTGTTACAGAAGTAAAATCCCCAGGGTTCACTTAGGTAGAAAGTATGGTTTTTAAATCAATATAAGTCTATGATTTAGATGCGCTGTTACTACTACTTCAAGAACTTCTCACTGTAGCTCTACAAACACTGAGCACCACCTTATGGCAAAGTCAGAACCCATGCAGCACCTTTTTCATAATCCTTTAATCCAGCATGTAAATAGTTGTTGTTTCTTTCTTGGCTACCGCATCTCCCCAGCCTTCTACCCCCAGCTATCAATATCACTACCAACACTTTGTAGCCAAAACCTGTAATGCATCCATACTATACATAGCTTGAAAGCATGTTGGGCCATCTAAATGTACTGCTTGATTTGAAAATAATCATATTCAGATCTAGTTTCCTGCAAACCAAATTTCCACCTTCAAATGCCAGCCCCCATGGAATGTTACTTCATTGTGTTTCTGTTAAAGTACAAAGCATAATACCAATTTGCATTTAAGAGAATAAATATGTAATCTCACTAACTTGAAGTAAATGATTTGTGTACATGTTTCTTTTTTAAAAAATATATTCAGGTTTTTCAATGGAGTTATAAACAGTACAAATTCTGATTTAAAGAAGAAAAAAGCAATAACAACGTGAAAAAGAAATATGGAAAGAAGGGAAATGAAAAGAGGCATGCCATCTTTTTAAAAAGTTATATTTATATTTTACGTTCTCTAAGGTTACATCATACTTTCCTTCTTTCCATAAAGTATCTTTTTTAATCCAAACCTCAAAATCACACACATCATTCTCCTTTTTTCAGCAGAAAGTGTCTAAGAAGCTTCGTCACTAATAAATGTAGCTATTGATCTTTCTCTAGTCAAAAAATGTTGCCCTCCTGCTAGTTCTGTCATCTCAATCAACCAGCCCTATTTTGTATGTGTGTTTTTAGGGCATTCCCAGCAAACATTCACATAAACCATCAATAAAAAATGAAATATTGGTACTTGGAGATATACCAGAGATGATTAAACAAAGAGCCTAACTTAAAAACAAAACAAAGGTAACTTCAAGCAGATTCTACTACTACTACTACTACTACTACTTATTGTAGTAAGAGAACAAGCCATTAGCTAAATCTTATTTATTGACAGATTTTCAGGAGCAACATACATATAAACTACAACAGAACACCATAAATATAGAGTACATTCATTGTTAATTAAGAAAAAAAAGCATATTTAGCTCACATCGAAACACTTCAGTTTATTGCCAGAGACATACTCTGGCTGAGAAAGTCAAATAAATAAGGCCTTCTCTGTAGATAACTCAAAGCTGTTGCACAAGTTTTTGTGGCAATCTAAGGAGTAATTTCTTTGCTAAAGAGTGACAGCAAGTGTAATGTAAGACAGTCTAGTATTCTCAAAGTAGAATTTTCTAAATGTCAAAAAGGGTTGCTAGATATTCCTTCTACTTCAGTTTTCCAATCACTTTTTAACTCAGTTGCTCTAATTACACTAATTTATCCCAAAACTGGCTTTGGGTTCTGTTTTTCACTATCGTCACTGTAAATCTACGCCTTGGCTTTGGCGTAGATCAAAATCAAGGGTTTCAGGATAATTGGAGAGGAAAAAAGGTGCAAAAGGACAATACAGGGCAAGGGTTAGTAATGAAGATTCAGAGGTGTTTAAACAAGTTCCCCAAAAATGTTTTATTTTAGGGATGGTCCTTTACTCATTAATATTATTAGCCCCTAAAGCCTTATGTCTCTTGATCAGAAAAATAAAATTAAAAAAAAAATACAAATAATAGGCTTTCCTCCCATATTTTCCACTTTAAAAGTATTGCTTTTTTTTGCCTTGCAGCGACAAAAATTAATCTGCGGTGAGAGAGAGAGAGAGAGAGATGTCAAACCTATTCCATACGTATTATATAATCATTGCAGCTGGTAAGTACTGTAGGGAGTTCAGTTCAGTTGCCATAGTATTTGGCATATTGCTAGGGAGCTAAGTTTTGATCTATTTATCATTACCATTGGCAGCAGCAAAAGAGACCCATATTTTCTTGCCTGGCAGATACATATGGGCTTAAGATGGCAAATGCAAAAATAGAACCTTGCACCAAATAAAACACGACTGAGGATTTCCTGAGATGTTTATTAGGATGAAAATCTTACAATTTTTCAGTTCTAATGGGAAGGTTTTCGCCACCAGCATCAATCAAACATATCCTTATTACTCAGATTTCCTCCTCCACTAAATTTCTTTCGGGACAAGGAGAAGAGAGGTCATGTAAACATGCTTTCTGCTCCGAGAGAATGAACACAGCAAGCTGCCTTAAGAGGAGAAACTGGTCCGTCTGTCTCGTTCAGTGCAACCAATTCTGGCTGGCTGGTCCTTCAAGTGAGGGTGTACTACAAATTCCATCTGGCAAGGGATAATGGGAGCTAAACAGTACCGGGCTGGGCCACACTAGTTCTCAAGCAAACCCCTTTCCACGGTTTGGCTACCCAAGAGGCAGGCATTTTGAACAAATATAAATTAGGGAACATTGTAATCAAGGCACCATCATCTCATCCAAAAAGGTTGTTTGCCTTTGACACCCACACAGCAAGTACCAGAAGTCTCTCTGCTCCAATAGGGGTGAGATGAGGAGGCAGAAATCAAAGGCTGCAGCAATGAACAGGGGGGGGGGGGTTGGTCTTCCCAGGGGACCAATCAACTACTCTTTGATAAATACCCCCCCCAAGACTTTGTGACCAGGCGGTGGTTTAGATAACAGAGATGTTGAAACAAGGATGCCCACAAGAAATATACAAGCAAAGAGAGGTGCACTTCTGTTCCTAAACTAATCATTTTTATCATTTCCATCTAAGAAAGAGGGGCACTGTGCCCGGGGTTCAAAGGGCAGCTTCCTTAAGAGGTGTTGCAGGAAGAAGGGAGAAAAAGTTTTTTGAGTTATCCCTCTCTCCCTTTTAAAAAATACAGCTGTTGTTCCACCAGTGCTGTTCAAAATAATGTTTTCTGCTTAGGGCACTGTTAAAGGGCTGTAGAGTTTCTTTTTAAAGTATCCTCTCCTGCCCCCCTCTAAAGAAATAGCATCCCTTAATTAAGAGTTTATTTATTTTTTTATCCATGCACTGTCCAATGTTTCAGGGTCTCTCACTCTTGACTATAAAACAGAGCATATTAAAAATCAAATCACAGCCCTCTTGTCTTGCAACTGGGAGGATAGGCTCCATAACGTGCAATCACTATTGCTCACCATTGCTAGAGCTGGTCTCCAGGTCAGGATCCCATTAATGTTTTTTTTGGTGGGGCGGAGTGTTATTCCCATGAATGTAAGGGAGAGGAATGTAAAGAACAAACAAGAGTCTCTTTTCTGAACAAGGTTTTTGGACTGCCCCTCCTCCCCATCACCAAGTGACCCGGCCGTTTTAACAGGATGAAGATGGTCTTGCTCCAAAATTTAAGTTCATTGTATATTGAAATATAATTCAAACACACACACACACACACATTTTTCCTTTCCAGGCAAATTAAGGCATATACCCACCCCATTCCCTAACCTAGGAGGGTAACCACTAGGCACCCCTCCGAATAGTTGGGGCTCTGGCATCCATCCTCCGAGAAGGGCCAACCCACCCCATCCCAAAGGCTTAAAAAAGTTGAAGGGGCTAAAGCAAGTCCTGGCTTGGCTTGGCTTGACAATCCTGGAAAGGGGTGTGAATAGGGTGAGAAGTGGGTTGAACGTGGCCCGGAACGCTGCTGATTCCCATGAAAAATAAAAGGTTGGCAGTGCAAATAAGGGGACAGGGGAAAAAAGAAAAAAAAAACAGCAAAGCGGTCCAACTCTTTGGATTCTCGCCGCCACCCTCACTACCCCCCACCCCCGCCGGCTGTCTCCCCACAACTTTCCTTGGCTGAATCTCGCGAGCCAAACCTGGCTAAGGCGTGAGAAAGAAGGGGGGGGGGGGAAGGGGGGGGGGGGGGGGGTTGAGGTGCTGGGGGTTGTTCCCGGCGCCCCTCCGCTCCCAAGGTTTCCTACGAGAAATGTCTCTGCTTGGCCCCCCGCCCCCAGGACCACCCCCCCCCCCCCCCGCCTCCTCCCGCTTTGGCTCCTCCACTTGCACGGCGACTTCCCTTTAGCAGGTGAAGCGGCGGGGAGGAAGGGAGGAAGAGGAGGGGGTTTTTTTTGGGGGGGGAGGTGGGGAAAGGACGGCGCCCCTCCATTCGCCAGCTGCCCCTCGCCGCCTTCTTACCTTGGTGGTTTTCTTCTGGAATGTACATCCTCTTGTTTTCATTAACCATTTAAAAAGTAGAGGAACGAAGGGAACCAGGAGCAACAATAAATCAATCACCCAAAGTCCGGAGTTCTGGTTTTAATTCCTCCAAATCCCAAACAGCTGAGATCGCTGGCGCTGGGGGGTGGGGTGGGTGGGAGCAGTCCAAGGAAGAAACCGGAGCTGCTGCTGCGGCGGCGGCGGCGATTAAATTCCCCCGCTCGGTTATTACCTGATTCCCATGATTGCATCAAAGCACAAACCCTGATTCGCTCCAGTAGTGCCTCCTTTAGTACAATTGCAAAGCATCCTCAGAGAACATCCGGGCTCCTGCCCAAGAAATTCAGCGCACCGGCGGCGGCGGCGGCGGCGACCGACTCGTAGAAGAAGTGCTGGGCTCTTCTTCCCGGTCTCCCGCTCGCTGCTTCTTTCTCCCCCTGGTTCTTGCCTTTGCAAAGCGGAAAGCTCCGGGGGCAGAAAAGCAGCAACGCCACCGCCGAAGGGAGTGGAGAAAAGGGGCGAAGGAGCATCCCCCCGAGAAGGAAGGGGGGGGAGAAATGTCCGGAGGATTCAAATGTCTCTTGCCCCGGTTCAAGATCCAAGGAACTAGGGAAGGCGAGCGATCAGGCAGGCAGGCGTGGGGGGTGGGTGGGTGAAGGACCGGGAAGCAGGAAAGGCGGTGGCGAGCAGCTGCTTCTCCCTCTTCCGAGCCAAACGCCGGGCGCTCTGCTGGCAGGGAGCTTTTTCTGCAGAGAGGAGACCGCTAGTCCCAGCCCCTCAGTCCCTCGGCAGAGCGATCGCGCCTCCCCTCCCTCCTGCCTGCCTGCCTCCCTCCCTCGCTCGCAGACAGACAGACCAGACTGGACAGGCTGCTTTTGAACCGTTCCAGATGTTGGCAGCGGCGGGGCAAGAGCGCGTCGCCCGCGCCGAGGGGTTGTTATTTTTTTTTTTTTTTTTTTTTAGGGACTGGCAGACTTGAGCGGAAACTTTAACCTGCCTCCGCGGCCGTCCGCCTTTCCTTGGCTGCCAGCGCCCGGAGCTGCTGCTCGCGCTGCTGGTCCCTTTCCTACAGACATGACGTCAAGAAGGCGAGCGGGATCTGGCTTGCCTGGAAAAAGTGGGGAGGGGGTGTTGTAGATGGAATATGGGGGGGGGGAGAGATTGGGTGGGGACCGCACGGTAAGAGTTCCCCCCCCCCCCCGCCCCGCCCAACCAGGCCGATTCACCTTACTCGGCGGAGGCACATTCTCCCCACTCAGCCCCCGTTTCATTTTCTAAGCCTGGGCTCGCCCCCCCACATCCCACCCTCGTTCAAAGCCACCCGTGGATTATCATTTTTTTCTCTCCTCTTCGCCTGCATGTCGGAGCGCGAGAATTATGTGAACTGGGTTGCGTTGGGGGCTGAGGGGGAAGGGAAAGAGAAGCGACACGGAGTAAACCTTGGGTAAAATAATAACTCCTGTGCGCGAAAGGAGGTTGTAGAAGGCGAGGGTTGGCGAGAGGCGTTGAATGAAAAGCCGCTTGTGCGAGCGAGAGGCTGGGTGGACGCGGCCGCTGTGCCCGGCAGTTCCCCCCCTCTCCGCCCCCGCACCACCCCGAGCGGAGAAAACACAGCTGTGGGAACGGATTAGGCGCACGGCCGAACCGCGGATCTGAGGGAGGGGGGAAAGGCGGGAGAAAGATCGCTCCCCTTCAATTCCCCGAGCTCCCACAACCGCCTCCCCCATCCGCTGGCTGGGGACACTTTTGGGGGTGTCCCCACCTTCCCCAACCCCGGGCGAGACCCGCGATGGTTCTTCAACGGGAACCGAAGCAGGCGGCCTGAGGCATGCGGCCGCCTGAGCTGGGGGCCCTGGCAAGGCTGCCATGTTAAAACGAGCCCAGGCGAAGCGGCGGCTCTCGTTCTGAGGGTAAACGCCGCGCCGCGCTCTCTTCCTCCGGACGGTCCAACAACCCCATCGATTGGACGCAGCTAATGGGGTCGGGTTTGGGCGCGCCTGACCCCGGCAGCGCCTGACGCCCGCCTGGGAGTCTCAATAAGAGCGCGTGTTGTCGTCCCGGATTACTCGAGAGAAATTCCGGCAAAGCCCTTTTTCTCTGAGGGAAAGCGCGCCAAGTACGCACGCCCGGAGTGCGGGGCAAGCAGCCTCATGCAACCCGGGGGGTGGGGGGGATTGGTCTTCCATGCAAGATGTGAAATATTTTGTATGGAGGGAGGGCAGGGAGGACGATTTTAGTGTTATTAATGCGGCGGGACAGGCAGGCGCGTTTGCACGATGGGTTGTGAACAGCCGTAGCATCCAGGGCACCAGTAGCATTTTGCAAAGGGATCGTTCCCCTGCACTGGAAGACGGGCGCTAAAGGGGCGCATCGAGTGAAGGGGGAGAAGGGGGAGGGGAGTGGGTTGTAAGGGAGGATCCCTCAACGTGGTGGTGGGTCAGGCAAGCAACGGGGGCGAGGACCACCGGCTTTCAAGAGTGAACTTTTGTCGACGAAGTTTGCCACCTGATGTCTCCTCGCCACGAGGAATTGACGACGGCAGCAGTTGAGGGGATGAAAAATGAAAGAAGAAATTAAAAGAACTATAACGGGCCCTGGCCCGTCTCTCACCGCGAATATCTGCCCGCTAGATGCCATCCAATTCTCGCGATTGCGTCTACAAACGCCTTTGAATTTAATCAAAAAGTCGCTCTTTTCTCACTATTCTTGGTGGTGTCAGTCAGAGAAGGTGCAGGGGGAAACTAGGAAATCGTCAGTCGTGGGGTTTAAGGATCTACTACAACCATGGATAGCTGTGTTACCATAATTAGTTGAGTAAACCACGATTTCTTCTCACAGAGTGGTGGATGGAAATTAAGCCCAGCATTGAAGAAAAGTCACAGAAAGTAGGGTTTTCCTCATTCCTCATCCATCTGCTCTGTCTCCCAAGTGCTTACTGGTTTACAGTTAATACGGATTTGCTGCCAATGGACACAACATCCACCAGTTCTCTCTCTCTCTCTCTCTCTCTCTCTCTCACACACACACACACACAAACACACACAAGAAAATACTTTGAATCAGAGGTCACCAACCTTTTGGACCTCAGGGACCACCAATTTTAAATCCCACGGACAATCCTCCAAATCCCCCCAAAAAAGTCTGCAGGAAAATTCCCCACCCCATTTTCCTATTGATCAATCATTCTTTATTTGGGATCTCAGGATTTCCAGCTCCATTCTGGGGGGGGGGGGGGGGGACTTTTGGCTTCATACAAAGGAAGCAGCAGAAGTCTTTTTTTCTCTTCCCCAAACTCTGCCAGAAATGAGTCTGCTGGCACAGCCTCTTGGAACAGACTCATTTCTGACAGAGTTTGGGGAAGAGAAAGAAAGACTTTTGCTGCTTTCCTCGCCAAAAGCAGAAGAAGCGCCAAAAGTAGAAGAAGCGGAAAGAAGCAGCCCGGTGGCCAGGGCTCCACCCTTTCCCCCCTCCCATCACTAGTTTGTGTTGTTTGCAATGCAAGCGACACAAGCATTGAGTTCCCGCAGGCCATGTGGGCGGCACAACCTTGTGTTCCCGCACAGCCTGGGTTAATTGCTTTTGAGGGGTGGTGGCTTTGGGGGTGACATTTCTCTGCAGACCACCAAAATTTTCTCATGGACCACCAGTGGTCCCTGGCCCACTGGTTGGTGACCACTGCTCTGAATAACAGAATGCTTGGGGCAGTGCAGGAACCAGTTGGAGGAAGCTAATAGGAGCTGGGCAGATGCCCAGCCTGATTATAGCCATGATAATGAGGATATTATCCATTCAGTTGTGTCTTAACTCTTGATGCTTTTATGGGTCAGAGGTCTTTCCACATCTTCCGATCTTGCACTATTGCTTCGAGTTTTTCTGTGTTCTGGCAGGTTTCAGCTTTGGTGGTATCCAGCGATCCTGCTCTTTGGCAGCTTGGTTTCCTTTAAACATAACTCTTCCAAGCATGATTGCTTCCTCCAGTGAATTCCCCCGCGTGACTTGGCCAAAACAAGTGAGACACAGTTTTATGGTTTTACCTTTCAGTGACATGTCTGATGATGAGCACTCCAGTACTTGCCTGTGAGAAATGGTATTCAGCCAGTTCAGACCGGTTCTGACGTACCAGTAGTGAAAATTTTGATGGGTTCAGAACTTCAGAGAACCAACAAATACCACCTCTGGCTGGCCCTGCCCACCCGCTCCCGCTATTACCTCTCCTATATTTCCTTGTTTTTTTAACTCAGCTGATTCGTGTAGCAGAGCAGATTGCTGCGCCTGAGCCGACCTCAAAAACACTTCAGGCAGCTCACCAGGTTGACAGAGCTCTGTATTTGTGCCATGCATACGCACAAAGCTCAGCTGATTTGTGCTACTGCCGCGCCTCAGCTGAGCTTAAAAACACTTCAGGCAGCTATCCAGCCTTGACAGAGATCAGTATGGTATTTGAGCCCTGCGCATGCATGTGAAGCACGCACACACATAGAACCGGTAGGGAAAAATTTGGAAACCCAGCACTGATGCAGAGACTTCTCCAGCACCACAGCTCAAACAAATTAATATTCTTCCTGTCTTGCTTATTTAAAGTCCTACTTCCGCAACCAAGATCATAGCCATAATATTCACCAAAATACCACACTTGGCATCCCACACTATGGGAACCATATTCCTGTTGCAGTATCTTGATTCATGGACCATGCTGGGATATCCACAAAGACAAACAGGGAAACCAACAAACCAGCTTGCCTATAGAAAAAAAAAACTAATAAGTTTGGATGTTAGTTTCCTAACTGCTCACCTAATATATAAGCAAAGTATCGAATACTTGGTTAAACATCACATCTCTCATGACACATTGCTATCATTTTTTTTCTTACTTGACCTCTTTCCCACCATGGCTTCTTTCTTCTCCAGCATTCTTCCTACTTCAGTGCTCCTTTTCCTTCATTGTGGAATTTTATTTGCCCTCAATGATTGCCACAAAATCCCCAAGATCATGTTCTCATGATAATTCCAGAGGGGACACATATTTGTTGGGTTAATTGCACAGAATGGCTTTGCAAGATAGTTGGTTTGTTCATTCTGATG